ACTACTACTACTACTACACTACTTCTCCTAAAACGATGATGACGACTACGACTACCATTACATGTCCCAGCACCACTCGACCAGCGACGACGACAGCTACTTACCGGCCAGAATAGTAGGAAAATACCAAGACCAAGGGAGTACCCAACAAAAGCTTATCATGTCGAGAGCAACTGGAGTGTCTAATAGGCCAGGCTCCGGATTTCATAGTATATACAACGTGTACAGTAAAACAAACATATAAACAGACAAACAAATAAATGCATAAATGCATAAATAAGTATGTACAGTTTTGTATATGTACACACCAGTCACACTCTCCCCCTCCCCTTTCGAGAAACAGACATTGCAATGGACAACAGATTCCAAACGCTTAAGGCTCTACCAGAGCCTGTGTCTTGAAGCCATCTGGTACTTTGTGCTTCCAAAGGCTCCAGTCAACCTCTAGCACCGGCTTGGGTGCTGCAGTGTTCGCTTGGGTGTACCTGAATAACCCAGTGTCTGACATTATGGCTCGATCGGGTTCAGGCTTAGGCGATCTTCTGTTCAAGGAAGCCTGCCATCATTGAAGAAAGACTTGTTCCAATGTCGCGTGGTGTCATGAGAGCAGCAGATTACAATAAATGAGCTCACACGGGCGGCAACCATCTTACCAACAACAGACACCATTCACTCAACAGCCAAATCCCTCAGCTCCAAAGCCCTGTAACCCAAAACCCTCAACCCTCGGCTCCAAATCCGAAGGTCCAGACACCACACCCTCAGCCACACCGCAAACTAGCTCCACAGACCTGATCCTAGCGATCCATGGTACGTTGGTTCGGACACGTCCCCTGTGCCGGCCAGTGAGATCACGGCGTACTCGACCGAGATCGGGGTGCCGGGGGGCAAGTCCTTTGCTGCTCGACGGTTCCAGATTGTTGGGCTTCAGCTTCGGGTTCTGGGATCAGGTGACTGGTCAGGATACACGCGTCTGGCGCGCAGAACCGTAAACCCTGCAGCAAGCAAGCCCTAGATCCTAAACCCGAGAGCCGTAATGACCCTAATTTCCGAGAAAGGTACATAATTAAAGGATCAGATGACTTTGCACATACACTGACAAGAAAGATGACTGTAGGTATACCCACTTGTGGCCACAATTACAACACTTACGAACTTGACATACTGGAACAACTCAGCAGTAAGCTGCACGCAGGAGCCGAAGAGCTGCAAAAATCCTCAAACCTCAAGCCTCGCCCTAATCGTCCACGTACCCATGTAGTATATAATCTGACTTCAATTCACCTGTACAGGAAGCCTTCCAGGCGGAAGTATTTGCCTAGGCACACAGATCCTACAATACCCCTATAGTAAAACCGATAAGCTTTCCTAGGTAGGGCTAAACAGGTCGAGGGACAGGAAAAGTGTATGAGGTGATGCTGGTGTCGGTGATGATGGTCGTCTCTGGCACCTCGCTGACATCCAGCCTGAGGTGGATGGGTTTCCAGGCGTTCAGCGAAGCGTCTGCGATTCACTGCTAAACATCTGGGCGTAGGGGGATGGCCTTTTTTGGGGGAACCATCTCCCCGCAAGGAGTTTAGGGTATCACTTGCGGAGTGTCGGGTGGAACTGTCAAGAACTTGCCCACCTGGTAAGCTGCAGCTGCCAGCCGCTGTGAAGAGCCATTGTCTCGGGGGTTTGTCCTGCTTACTCGAAGGGGTGGCTATGGGGAGTCGTAGGTAGGGTTACAAGGCAGGTATACATCTATAGACATACCTCTGAGCCCCGTGAGGTATCGCAGAGACCACTTCTAGCCACTCATGAACCCAAAGCCCTTATTGTAACCCGATAAAGACGTACCGCGAAGAACAGGTTTCCGGCCCAAGGCTCTGTTCTTTTTGGCAGGTCCTGCCAGTGTCAAGTCCACAGTGGCTGCGAACATGCCTGGCATGTCGCGCCGGCCGCTGCGAAGAAGAGAGAGCCTTCGGAAACTTGCGGGATTAGACTCGTGTAGCTTTTAGGGTTTAGGGTTTAGGGGCTTAGGGTAGCTTGTTGGGTCAGGGTTTGTTGGGGCACCTGCAACTACTGGCAATCTGCTTTCTTGCACACAAGTCCGCCCCGAAGCCACCTAATCTGTGGGGATGGGAATGGCTTGAGAGATTGCTCCATGTGCTCACAGTTCCCTGGTTGTGGTTATATAGTTATATAGTTATATAGTTATATAGTTATATATATATATATTGTACCCCCCCCCCAATCCGCTTTTCTAACGATGGAGGTCCATGTATTCTCTGCCTCTGTGTCTCTATGTCTCTGTCTCCCTCGCACTTTTCGAGCCGACTTCCACACCGCGACACGGTTCCAGGCCGAGGCGCGCAGGCTTTGGGGGCGCCAGCGGCCTCGCAAAAAAGGGAAGATATACTGAGTCCATCCCTTACAGGCTGACTCGGCCCAGATACGGAGACCGAAACAAGATAGAAGCCCTTGGTCCCGAACCCTGAAGCCTGTGACCCAGGAACACGAAGGATGATCCTTTCAACATTCGATAGACCCAATCCTGGGCCTGCTACAAAAACAACGCGAAATTAGGCCCTGCCTCGCGGAATCTGAGCCTTACGTATAGTCTCCATTGTTTTTTGGTTTAACCAATTCTATATTAAGGATCCTAAAAGGAAACCCCAAAAAGGAACTACAATGGAGACTATAGGTAAGCCCCAAAACCCAAACATTACCCCCGAACCTCCAAGCCATAATTCTAGCCCGCCTTGCAACGCACAAGAGCCGTGCCGTGGCGGAGTCGAAGCCCAGGCTCCAGGTGCCCGAGGAATCCACGGCCACCAGCTTGAAGTAAACCTCCAGGAGAGTGTTACGAATTCGGAGTTTCAGGCTCTACCTTTTGTCTCCATTGTAGTGAACCAATCTATATTAAGGATCCTAAAAGGTAACCCCAAAAAGGAACTACAATGGAGAATATAGGTAGAACTACAGTAAAACATAGTGACTATGATCATCATGCTTTGAGACACTACAGTCGAGCGTCAGTAAACCTCCGGAGCAACTGTCCGTTGGGACGACGTATGTATATATATATATACATACACATACACATACACATACACATACACATACACATACACATACTGTACTTACACGTTGAGGGGTGCGTGTTTGTGTGTGTGTGTTTGTGTCGATACATGTCGGTGTGCATGTCTGTGTGGACTGGACTGCGAAAGGTCTGAGGCCCACCATTGCCCCCAGGTGATATGTGAGACGGGCCATACCAGCCATCCCGGACAGCCTTTACGATAAAGATCGTGATGATGACGCACAGCAGCGTAAACTGAGCTCCAGCTTGCCAGCATTCTTGCTACTCTGTTCTTCGACCTTGCCCATTCGTTAGTTTAAAATATGTGGGCAACATGCCTCGGGCGGCCAGGTGCTCGAATTGGTCTCATTGCAGACGTAGGTGGTCTCCTGGCGTTTAGAAGGTTTCGGGGCTTTGTCCGCCTTTAGATCTTGGTATGACTTGGCTAAGGAGTCTGCCACGAATCAATTTATTGCAGGAGCGCGCTGTTGAGGGATCCTTAAGGCAGCCTATGTGTACATGTACGGGAATGGTCAAGCCCGCCATGCTGACTCAATGGCTCATGCGTTGTTTGTCTGTTTCGGGTTTGTGCCGCAGGTGAGAAATTAAGTGTGGAAAGAACCTGAAGAGAAAGAGCTGCCATCAGCTCGAGCGTCGGGCCGTGCATTCACAGAGACGCTTGCCACTTCGAAGAACTCGGCATCGGCGCTCGGCGCGGCCAGGACGCGGAAGCTGTGGGTGAAGGGCTGCCAGGTGGCGTTGGGATGAGTGGACCATCCTCGGCGACGGTAAGCCGTTACCTATAGTCTCCATTGTAGTTCCTTTTTTTGGTTTAACCAATTCTTTATTAAGGATCCTAAAAGGTAACCCCAAAAAGGAACTACAATGGAGACTATAGGTAGGCCCTAAAGTCGAAGTCCTACCTCCGACTGTGGAACCAAACATGGGCTTTGCCTGACCCTAGCGGGGTGGAGGCAATCACCTGCTGGACTCCCTGAACACCAAGTTGAGCTTGAAAGGAGGTTACGGTAGGGGCCTTATTATTCTTAGAACAGGATTTTTTTGGGGGGTTGCTTACTATACTTATTTCACTATGAAATACCCCAAACCCTATTCTAATTATTAAGGGCCCTATGTCACCTGCCGAAGGCTTCTTGCAGCCACGCCTCCCACCGTCACCTCCGTGGTCGCCGCATCGTAGTTGACGATGTAAGGTGCCGTGGGCCCCCACGGTCGACCTCCGGGTCAAAAATGTAGGCCGTAGTTAGAATAGAATAGGGTTTAGGGTTTAGGGTTTATAGGGTTTATAGGGTTTAGGGTTTATAGGGTTTAGGGTTTAGGGTTTAGGACCTACCTATAGTCTCCATTGTAGTTCCTTTTCTTGGTTTAACCAACTCTAACCAACTCTATATTTTAGGGATCCGAAAAGGAACTACAATGGAGACTATAGCTAGCCCGAATTAGAATAGACTAAGGTTTGGGGACTTATCGTTTTACGATAATCAGGAACCCGCAAGGAACAATAGTGACAAGTCTTCAAGCTTCTAGTTTAAGTGCTAAAGGCCTTCGTTTACGGGTTCTACCGAAACCATGGGCTCCATCGTTTTGAGCCTCTTTCAGAAAAATCGCAGCGGTCTTGTTGTTAGTGTCGTACATTCCGGTACCAATACATACATTTCTCGTCTGAGCATCGTGTCCCTGTCGGGTGCTCTCCTGGGGCTTAGGGCTCGGGGCTTAGGGTTTAGGGGTTTAGGGTTTAGGATTTAGTTAGGGCTTGGGGTTTAGGGTCTGGTGCATCTTTCTCGACAGCTCTCAGAAACTTCTTACGACCCCTGGGCACTGCAACCCTTAACCGTAACCCCTTGACCTTAACCTCGAAGCCTCAAGCGTAAGCGCATGACATCGCATGACAAACCCTTGTCACAGGGCGTCGCGTGCCTGTGGGAATAATCGCTGCAGCGGCCGAGAAGCTGCTGCAGGCAGCTGAATCACAGGTCCGCACACGAAACTCCTGGGCGGCTCTGCTTCTGTGACGAGGAACGCCAAGTTTTAAGCTGTAGGCGATGAACCCCAAAACCCTAAACCCTAATCCCTAAACCCTTATCCCTAAACCCTGAACCCTAATCCCTAAACCCTAAACCCTAATCCCAAAACCCTAAGCCCTATCCCCTAAACCCCTAAACCCTAAACTATAAATCGGGGGGGGGGGAGCCTCCAGCGCTTGCTCTCCGAAGCAACGTCTGTGCCGGTCGTCGTCGTCGCTCTGCTCTCGGGTTTTAGGACGTGCAGGGTTTTAGGGTTTAGGGTTTTGGGGTTTAGGGTTTAGGGTTTAGGGTTTTGGGGTTTTGGGTTTTGGGGTTTAGGGTTTAGGGTTTAGGGTTTAGGGTTGGCACAGCTTTGGCGAAGAACACTGCCCAAAGTCCGAAAACTCCCGGAACTCCAAAGCCTAATTAAGTCCCCAAAATCGTATTGAAGCCTTGAACTCTGACAGGTGTCGTAGAGTTCCAGGGGGTCCAGCTCCGTGATATCGATCTCTGCTAGGCCAGAAGTGAGTGAAAACGAAGTCTGCAAAGCCACATTGAGGACCTGAAGGGCTGTTCAGGGTTCAGTATGTAGGGTCTGCGTCGCAGGGCTCAAGGGGCTGGAATGAATGTAAGGTTCAGGGTTTACAGGCTTTAGGGTTTCGGCTTGTGCATCGCTACTAACAGTACCAAGAGCTTCCAGCGCACGACCGCAAGTACCGTGCAAGCCGTCAGTGCGACGACCGTTGTCTTTCCACCCGCCTGTATCTCATACCAGAGGTTGCAGGACACCATGGGGAGATCCTGAAAGAGGCCGAGCAGACCGAGAGTGTGGAACTCCGAGCGAGAAAGCAAGGCCCTTCTGCTTTCAACGAGGGACCTTCCAAGGCGTCCTTGTTTGAAGGAGCTACTCTAACTTCGACGTGCATCGAGGTATAGTTTGCAAGTGTACTACTACTCTCTGTACACTCCTGCAAGCGTGTGCCTCCTAAGCCAGCAATTCGAATCCACTCGGTACCGCATCACAGGGCTAACCAGGATATTAATGCCTTCAAACAGAAGCAGTCCTTCCTGCTGTGTGTTTCTCAAGACTACATGGGGTTCGGCCTGAGGTTCTGGGTTTAGGCGATAGCGCAATGATCCGTAACGGAGGGATGTATGGCTGGGTCCTGCCACGATAGATGCACAGCGCCAGACCGCGCCATCAGCATCAGATCGCTAGGCGCAGTGAGCGGCAGCGCGGCAATCCTTCGAGATGCGGCTTAGGGCATGACATAGCGGTTCAGATTTCGCTGGCTTGAAGCTCATGCTCCGCAATGCCCTTCATCCCCTACCCTCAAACTCCTAAACCCTGAATCATTGGTAGCTTACACTCTGCTATATAGTTTTGCTCGATTCCACGATGTTGTTCTACATATATTATGAATACCTCTATACAAATTTAACTGCCTTACCTCAGCGAAGCCCAGGCTCCAGCTTGTGTCGCTGAAACTGCCGGCGCCGCCAGAGCTGAGGCCGCGCACTCGGAACTGCGTGCAGAGCCGGGTCCTTTCCCAGTCCGGGGGTCAGCCCCCCAAAACAAACTCTCCGAGTGTGTATAGGGGCCTTAAGAATTAGACTAGGGTTTTGGGGGTTCCTTGTATAATGTGCCCCAGAACCCTATTCTAATTAT